AGACAAAAACGCAATCAAAACAGGCTCAGCTTTGCTTATTTGTTTGATATTTTATCTAGAAAATGTCCAATGTCCTTCCATCTATATGTATACATGTCAACAAAAGCCAAGAATGATGTTAACAAATGCAAAAAAAGGGCTGAGTACTATTCGATAAAAAAAACAAATCTTTTACTAGAAAATAATACGAAGATGATAACCGTTTTCTATTCAAAACGATTTCTTTATTGCCCGAGAACTGTCAGTCAATTTATGGTACACACGTCATTGTCTTTAATACCATAGTATGTTAACAAAAATGATCAACAATGATATTTATGGAAGACAACGCTTAAGGCAAACAGTCTTTGTAAATGAAGTGAACAAGGAACATCTTTCTAGCTAACAAGAGATAAAACATTAATAAGAATAAATAAAATTGAACATCCACTTACCTGTCTCTGCTTTGAGTTTTACGGAGAAGTATCCCATCGTTAGACGTTTGACAAGAAAGTTTTAAACCCTTGGACGAACGAATACATCTCCTTGAAACTCAGAATAAAGAGAGATAAGTGTATATTTAATTTTTTTGTTTATATATATATATATATATATATATATATATATATATATATATATATATATATATATATATATATATATATATATATATATATATATATAATATATATGTCGCGCGTATGTGTATGTGTGTAAGTTTATTTCGACATAAGAAAAAAACATTCGTCAGTCTTATTCAACCCCAGTATAGACTGAGTTCGTGTTGGAAATAGAAATTTAACTGTGAAAGCTAAAAAAAAGTCCAAAATCTAATACAGAATTTATCCATTACAATGTTTCAGTCAGACGACAGGCACAAGGCAGTGTTCAGGGGAGGGTAGATGGTATTTGTCTTAAGGGGAAGATGTTTTATAAACTTAAACCCGATATTAACCTTATGACATTAAACTGGGTTTATATGAAGAATGAAAGAGGGAAATAAAAAGGGTTTAAAAAAAACTTTAAAACATAAAGTTATATTTAAAAATACAAAATCATACTTAAAAAGTTAAAAAAATCATATTCAATACATATATATATATATATATATATATATATATATATATATATATATATATATATATATATATATATAATGAAATAAAGAACAAAAGTAGAAAAACGAAACTCAATCTAACATGTTTCACCTTTATTAAGGCTTCGTCAGAGATCGAAAATAGAAATGAATATCAAAGAAACAGAGTACTGGAATGTTATCATTTTTGGCAGTTCTCATTGGCCAGACACGCGTCACGTGTATAAACGCAATAGATAGAAAATAAATGTGTTTGATAAATATTTAGGGTGTAAAGTGTGTGATAGTTTAAGGGTAAGTAAAGAAACGCTTGTGTGTGTAGGTGTATGTAGGACAGTAACATTAATTCATGTAAGTGTATACGTATGTATGTGAGGGAAGTCTACCGATGTCACCCTCGTATTTTGTCGGTGAAATGTAGCGATATGTTGCAAAATAATTTTGTATTTGGTTGGATTTTTATATTCTCGTTTATGTGTATGTGCAAAGTTTGTGGTTGTGTTTTGGTGAAACGAAGTAAGGTATTGTAATAATCTAGCTTTACTTAGATTTAACATGCGTAATTTTGAAAAAAAGGAAATTTCTAAAATTCTCATTATTTTAGACATAAGTTAGTTTCATGAAGAATGGATCTGTAGAAAAATGGTGATATGATGTGTAGAGGGTGCAAAGGAGTCCCTCAAACAAATAATAAAAAGAAAATACACTACAAATAAAGTAAAATGAACTTTTGTTTATTTTTTGTAAAGAATTATTTTTTCCTTGTACAAAAATGAAATTGTCCGTAAAGCTGCGGAAGAAAAAAGAAAGAAAGGAACTGGGAATGTGAGAGGGAAAGGTAGGACTATGTGTAGCAGGCGAGATGAGAGAAAGAGAGGGTGAAAGAATGTTCACTGATACGTGATATTGCCTGTTGTGTGAACCGCTGAATCCTCTCGGTGTGTGTGTGTGCTCGAAACTGTCCGTGTCCTTTGATGTCAGCTTGTCGCTGTTCTCTCTCCCTTCTGATGAGAGTTTCTACCTTCCTTATATAAGAATGATGAGGCTCGGAGAGATTAAGAAATGGGTTTCTTATGTCGAGTCCTGATTGGTCAATAAATCCTATTTTTTTGACCACGTGGTGTCTTTTCACTACGTCCGAACTTTTGGGTGCGCCGTCCTTGTTTTTGACCCCACAGGGCATGGTAAGGAATGAATTCCCCGCAATTGTATTTTTTGATACACGTGGTGTGAATTAATTTTTTATTGTATGTGTGTGTGGAAAATAAAATAAGAAACAGCACAGATGTAATGTTTTAAACGAGTCTTTATAGTTGGTAGTAATACTATATTTTGAAAATATATTCATATCATCACTACCAACTAAAAGCACCCATTTAAAACATTACATCATATCACCAATGAACAAAAAAAAATTAAACAAACTCTCATTAATAATAACTTCCCTAATTATATTGTTAATGAACAAATAAGATATACTATTAGAAATTTTAAGATAAAGCAAATATAATATAATACTTCTTCAGTTAACCCTAAAGATAGTATTAGTCTTTTATATCACAATCAAATACATTCTAATTGAAAACAGGGCAAAAATATCCTAAAAAACTAATAAATACTGATCTTAGTAAAAAAAAAATAATTATATACTATACTAAATCTAATATATCCAATTTAATCATTTGTAATGATTTCTCCCAACCAACTAACGCGTTACAGAAAACCAACATTGTATATAAATTTAATTGTCTCTTGGGAGATTGTATCTCCAACAGAAAAATATTATATATATATATATATATATATATATATATATATATATATATATGTTGGTCATACCACTACTACGTTTTCTCGTATACAACCTTATATAAACAAAACACGAATAAGCCTCTCTCGTTCTCTTCATTCATCTTTTTCCTTGCTGCCTGGATGTAGTCTTCAAGAGCTCCCGTCTTAACCGTGCGATCAACTCTTACCGACTTTTTCGCAAGTCGCCAGTAGAGTCCAGCAAATTTCGCCTGTCAACACAAGCCTATGACTTTACTCACAACATTTCAAACGCACACACAGACACAGAATTTTGTAATACATATATACATATCTCTCTGTGACTCAGGGCACCTTGGCCTCGCGTAATGGTTAGCAAGCTTGTCTCGCTAGAACAATTACAGCTGAGTAGTGAGTTCGATCCTCATTGGGTGCCCCATACCTTCGGCCTTGTGCCACATCTAAGCTACGCTTAGAAAATCGATATCTTTCTGTGACTCAGCCAAGTTCAATCAACCAGGACTGTTAATTTCTCTAACACAACACATTTTCTGATCAATTGTATTCTTGTGTTATCTATTCTAACAAACAGTCCTTTGTCCTAGATTCCTGAACATTTTCTCTCACAAGAACTTTCGAACAATCAAATACAAATCAAAATACGGTAAAAGGGAAGCAACATCTTTTCCCTTAATATATACATCGCACACAATATTATTGTATATTTAATTCATGTATGATTTCAATATATACTTGTTGATTCACATTTGGAGTTTCGTTGTTGTCTTGAATCATTTATTATACAAAAGTTATATATACAGGCCAAAGAACACGCAGCCTCATAACAAAGTAATTCTTTCATTTGCTGCAATCCAATTTTTGTTCTTTTAATTTTATTTTATAAATATATATTTTTTAAAAGGTACAAATGCATGCAAAAATAGGTATCACATTTTATTTACAGTTTATTCCATTTGGTCGCTTTTAGGGAATCCTTAACTTTTTTCGTTGAATGTTAAAATTTGGAGATGATTCAATACATTAACAAAATATCGACAAGGTCGCTCGTAATTTTTGGCCGTCTAGAATAATGTTTCTTTTCATTGAAGGAATAAAATTCTTTAGAAAAGACGACATGTCTTTTAACAAATAAACATTGATTTAATATAACGATAGGAATACAAACAGTTGATAATAGATTGGAAATTAATGTCTTTTTGTTTGGGTTGATAAGTTCTGAAATAAAATATAAACTGTCTTTGTGTACGTGTGTGAGAAACAATAAAATGTTGTGATATGTGTGTTTGTAAAAAAAGTCAACATGTCATTGCGTGATTCATAAAAAATGTTACGACAATACGAATTAAAGGGCAACATCTGTTGGCTATGTTGCCGTGATCTGGAGTTTTATTCAACGCTGTCGTTTGAAAACATGAGGTCATGAAGGTCATCAACAAAAGTGTGTGTGTGTGTAGCTTGTTGGCATCTAAATGTAAATATCGTTTTGGTAACAGATTTCTGTATGTTTTTATACACTTTTCCGAACAAAATCAAATATATCCAGAATTAAATTATTTATTTATTCCTAATTGGCCCTTTTAGAAGTCACGTGGTATGTCTTCTACTACGTCCGTACGATATTTGGTCGGTATCTACCTAAAATGATGATGACTAAACAACAAACATTCTGATTTGTAATCTATGATTTTACACAAATTTGTAAATGTTTTTTGAGTGTGATTGGTTTATAAATATTGTAGTTGATATTTTAGTGGACACGACAGCTTTGATAATAGAAAATATAATAATTCAATTGTAATTCTATATTCTCAATAAAATAGCAAAAATATCTTTGGCAAATTCCATGAGTCTACTTTTGTTTATATTTTATTGTGTTTTGAATTCAAAAGTTATAAAATATTTGTTTGGCTCTGTTAAATTAGCAAGACTAGGCTTTTAAAAGCCTAGTCTTGCTATTGTGTCAATTTGATGAATAAAATTTGTTAATTTGCAGATGTTTTTATCATACGGAACTAATTTCCTCTGTTACCGGATTGAAAATCGGTGTCGTGGGAAGATTTTACCTTCTCTATACATTTCACGTGTTTGAAATAAATAAAAAAAAAAAGCATTTAATTTCATCTTTTAGTAAATAATGTTTCGACGTTGTCTGGTAAGTAACTTATTTAATGCCTTAATAACTGTAATTTAAGTCAATAAATTTATTTGATACAGAAATTTAAGTTTTGGTTTTAAAGTGTCCTTCACGTTGTTTGGGGTCAGATTTTTTTGAATACATCTCAATCTCATCTTTCACTCAGTTTTTTATTTATTTTCTTTCGAATCAGGAAAATGTTTGTTATCTGTGATATCATTGATAATATTTATAATCTGATATCACGTGTATTATTTACTACACAACAAATACGTTATAATTCTTACTCACTAGTATAATAATTACATAAAAAAATATAAGAAAAAGTAGTAAGCTAAAATTTCCATAGTATATGAACAAACATGTTCGTTAAATGATTAATAATTATGACATCTATTTTCTGCTGGTAAACTTATTCAAAACATTATGTCGAGGAAGTAGAAATGATACATTTGAGTCCTAGGTACCTCCAAAAATTCGCTAATTTAAAAAAATCCAAAACAAAATGTCTCGCCAAAAAAAAAGATGAAAGACCAAAGCCTTTCTTGATATAAAATATTTTTTAATACTTTTTAGAACCTTGGAATTTTTTGCCAAACATCTTGTTTTTCCGGTGTCAATGCAGAACCATTTTGTAGGGAATTTGAGCGCTTTATCTTCCTTTTTTGAGGTGAAAAAAGTCCTTGATTTGGAAATTCTTGCAAAAATCAAATAATTTTCGGATTTTTATAAAACTTGCAGGAATTATTCACAAATGAATGAAATGGTTTTTTGAAACTTTTCTTTTTTTTCTTTTAAAAAAAACCTTTGCATTTTATTTTTTTTTTGTCTCCTTATTAAATAAACGTCAAGAAAGATTTTAATTTTTTTTTGAATTTTAAATAAATAAAAATATTAAAATAATAAAAACTTTTTTTTTTTAAAGTAAACTTAGGTATCGTTTTGATTTTTTTTGATTTTTGTTGGGTGAATGTACTTCTTACATTTATTTGACACTCACAAAAAAGCGCTTTTATAATTGGGAAGAGAGTCTTTTTTTTTTTTTTTTTTTTTTAAAGATAATTATCTAGTGTTTAAAATATCTGTCAATAAACGAATTTATTTTTTTTTATTATTGATAAGCAGAAAAAATGATACCAACCAATTTAAATTATTGGAAATAAATTAAATTAGTTTGGAATTAAAACTAAAATAAAAGCTTCAAGAAAGATTTTTGATTTTTTTTAAATGTATTTTTGAAACTTTAGATATCGCTTTTTTTGAAGATATCTATATTCTTGACTCTCCCACAGAAGAATATTTATAATTGGGAAGTTATTGTTGTTGTTCAGATATGCAATCAAAACAATTCCATATAGAATTTCTGCTATATGAATTTATCTTCAGTAACAGTAATTAATGTTTATGTAACTATATGTATAAGAAAGACTATGAATTCTCTTTTATTGCCTCCTGAACAAGAAAGATTTGTGTACTTTGAAAGATAATTTCACTCAACAATTTTTCTGCAAAATATAATCACTTTTCATAGTATTTCTTTTATTGAAAACTTTCTAAAAAAAAAACAAAAAAAACTGCAATCTATTTGTTTTTCTCTTAAATGCGAATAAAATTGTTCATGTATATTATTGCCAGTGTCAGTTACAATGGCAATATAACATGAAAAATCAAGATGATTAAACTCAAAAATTACTATAGCAAGTTTTTAAATCAACAAAAGGAAAATAAAATTGACATTTTTGAGTTATATACATTTCATTTCCTTTACTTTGAGATATGAAGTTAAATGAAACTCCTTTTTAGGACTAAAGAAATTAGCTTGTAAAATGTAAATTAAATAGTTCACACTTGGTGAGTGTTTGTCAAAGAAGAAAGATTCTACATAGGGATATGACTAAACTAAAAACACCTGAGGGATATTTTTCATTAAAATTGAAACTTGATGATTTGGTTAGCAAATTTTGTAACATTTTATTTTATTTTTTCTTTTAACTAACTTTTTTTTTTTCACTCAGTCCAGATGTTGTGCATTTAAAATCAGCTGCAAGAAATAATGATTAGCACTGTTAAGAACCATCCTTGACAGAATAGAACAAACATTTTGTCTGTGAGGAAAGGAGTTGCAGGGTGTAAAATAATTCATCACTCACAAGGTCATGTAAACTCTATCAAGGCTGGAAAGTGAAGATTGGGTAGCACCAGCCCAGATATTGTAGCATTACTCCACTTTCGGTCTGATCTGACTCTTGATAACTGTTTTTTTGGGAGGGAGTTACCAAACCATGTTCATTTTTAGGTTGTTTTTTTTTTTAATTGACTTTGTTTTGTTTTGTTTGTTTGTTTGTTTGTTTTTGTTTTTTAGGCATTTTTGAGATTGTTTCACCCTAAGCAAGGCAATAATAGGGTTAAGGGAATAAAAGAGAAGATTTTAGTGACAGCAGTGAGGAAACGGACAATAAAGGAACAGGATTCAGGAAGACAGAAGATGGCAATTGACATTGCATTTAAAGTTTTGAAGATTGTAGTTAACAGGGAAGCAAGAAATCAGAAGGGAGTTCCACAGGCAAGAAAAGTAACTATCAGAATAGAACTAACAGTTGCATCTAGCTAGTTCAATAGTAAAATGGTGGGACCTAGTTGCCAATCTAGTAGCATCCATAAATTCATGCATTTGAGAACACTAAGGAGAAAAATTCATCAAAGCAATTGTCATGAAAATATTTGTAAAAAAGACAAGGAAACCATGTCATGTCAGTCAGAAAGTGATTGAATTCTAGATGCCAGGTTAGCATCGATTATATTACAGACCCTTCTTTGAATTGTGTCAAGATTCTTGAGATATATAGCAGGAGCACCAGACCAGATATGCCAGCAGTATTCAATGCATAGACAAATGGTAGATTTATAAATGTGCGGGATTCTGATGAGAAGAATTGTCTGGCACAAAATAGCAAATCAACTTTCCTAACAGTAGACCTAGCAATTGTTGCAATAGAATCACTTCACTTCATGCAAGTGGAAAACACAAACTGTTGTTGTTCTGGAATTTAGCATCGGACATATTGAGCATGGCAGATAATGTTCTCCATGATGATTAAATGAAAGTAGTTTTGTTTACAAGCCATTTCTTGCCCCAGATAACCACTGATTGACAGTCCTTTTTGAGAGCAGTTGCCAGTTATGCTTTATCGGATATATTAGACTTGCTAATACAGGAGTAAATAGTTGTGTCATCTGAGTAGAAGTGACAATTGAATTTAGCTATTTCAACAGCAAAATGGTGGGACCAAGTTGCCAAGTTTGTAACACACTGAAATATATATTTCTAGGAAAAGTATCTCATCACTACAGTTTCAATAAATATACTTGTAGAAAATCCAGAGGGAATTCCTGTCACGTCTGTGAGAAAATAACTGAAATCCAGGTGCACACACGTCTTTGAAGATGGTCAAGATTCTTGGGATTTATTGCGGGAGCACCAGACCAGATATGGCAGCAATTTTGAAAGCACGGACAAATGGTATATTTATAAATGTGCAAGAGGGATTCTGATGAGAAGAATTGCCTGGCACAACACAGTGAACTAACTTTCCTATCAGCAAATCTAACAACTGATTTGATATAATCACTCCTGTTAATGTCAGTAGAAAACGTGAGTCCAAGAATGCTCATGGTGTTGCTTCTCTGGAGGTTAACATCAGTCATTCTGTGTGTTCAAGAACATTCCTGGGTGTTTGAAATCGTTTTAGACATTCTCTGTGTTATTAGCCAGTCTCTTGAAGTATGAAGGAAATGTATCTATTTCAATATCTTGTACAATTTGGATTGTGTGTTTGTCTGTCCACACCCGCTCGCATCTGAGCATCAGGATCCTCCTCCTCTCTCTTTATTCCTTTGCTGGTAGTGACGGAGATGACTGTGAAGGCCCAGCCTACTCCGGAAGAATTGTGAGACAGAATCACAGAGGAGTGTGGGTGGTAGATGCATGTGGGCAAGTTGGACCCTCCTGACAGCATGTCGCAGATCTTCATGTTGAAATTCAGCATTTTGAACTCAAGGAAAAATGATGTGTTTTGATGAAACTCCTAAAAAAAATTAATGGATTTTAAGTTTTACTGAAAAATGTAAATATTGCTAGAAGTAATATCATAATTTAATATAATTTACAATTATAATTTATTTAATTTATTATATATATTACTGTTCCTTATTATTTCTTTTAATTTTTCCATAGTTAATGGTTTTCTGTATTAGTATTTGTTTTTGAATAACTAACATGACTGTGTGTAACGACTAGTGAGTCCCTGAAATTCTTATTAGTTAGAGTTCTTTATATTTACAAATTAAAGAGATATTAAAGAGTATGGTTTTTACAGCTGTATGATGAATTAAAAAAAAAACAAAAAAACATCACAATAGTGAAGAAGTTCATAATAGTTTGAAAGAATCAGCTTAGAAAGTTTCTGTAGTGTTTTCAGTAATGTCAAAGGTGAATTGTGTGTACTGAGTGGTATCTCCACAGGAGTAATGAATACATGATTTGTTACATTGGTGTGTGTTGATGGTTTTTGTGAATGTGTGGCAAAAAAAAAAAAAAAATGTCACAAATTTAACAAAAAATGTCACAGATTTAACAAAGAAAGTCACAAATTTAACAAAAAATGTCACAAATTTCGGAAGTTTAAATTCTTATAACTTTTGAACAACTGAAGCTATTTGTATTATTGAAACACTTTTAAGCAAGGTTCTCAGAGCTCTTTCTAATTTGATTAAATCTGAAATAAAAAAAGAAAATAGCTAGAATTACTAAATTATGGTAATGTCGATACCACGTAAGAAGGGAATATTCATAATTTGCATTTCCCCATGATAAGCATTGTTATATTCATAATGCAGTAAATCATATAGGGTAGGATAGGCATTATAGGGCTGATAATATAACTTTGCCCCATATATAATATACACTAGTCATTGGTTTATGATAAACTTTGTTCCATACAGCAGGTATAAACATTTACAGACTATCATTACTATGACATCTTATGATTATAAGAAATCTATTATATTATTGAGAAAATTATAAACATTATTAATTCTATTCTGTCTAATTACACAAAAGATGTAAATAAATAAATACATAATGGTAATTATTATAGTATTGATTAATTTTTTTCCTATTTAACTTTTACCACAGTGCAGGCAACAATAGTCGCCATAGAATTCCCTCCCTTTGCAACTATAGCAGCTACTGTTATCCATGCCTGACTAATTTTATGGATTCTACTAGCAACCATCAATATAACTGTTAACCTTTCTGAAGTTGAATTATTTTGTCTATTTATAAACAGCAAAGTAGTAACTTTACTTGTCATCAAGAAAAATAAATATGAGTCCAGTGAAAGAAAAACAAATGCTCGTGTCTTCTTGCCTGTAAACACGAGAAAACGTCACTTTTTTGATAAAATGAAAGACTACTTAGCGATTTTACTTCTTATTGCACCCCCAGAACTCCACAAGGAGTAATAAAAGTTAAATTTATGTTGAATTATTTATGTATTTTTTAGTGTATTTGTTTTTTATTTCGCGTATCAATTTTTTTGTTTTCAGCATCAAAACATGCATGCAAAATGTAACACATTGCATCAAAATATTCAAAATATTGTTCACTCATTTATTCCTTTATGAGTGAACAAAAATTGACATGTATGTGCACAATACAAAGAAAGTTATACCAATTAGGTTTTCATGTTTTTGCACCCTCAAAAAAAAAAAGCAGGGGGAACAATTCTAGAAAAGAAATTAGCATGGTAAAGGTTAATTATATAGTGTGATACAAAAGATATAAATAAATACACAATGATAATTATTATATAGTGTTGATTATAAAAATAAAAAGTCAGTTATATTAATGGCTGACTTTTGTTTCTTTATCAACAAAATATTTTCCTCATTTCCCAAATCTCAAAAATGTCAGTAAAAAAAAACAAAACAAAAATAAACAAATATATAACAATAAATGAATTAAAAGAAAAAAAAAAGATGGGAATCAGCACAAAGTAATAGTAAATATTTTAATTATTTTTTTTTTTTTTTTTTTTTTTTTTGGTCATTATTCAGGTTAAGTTTGTGGTATAGATTCAAGGACTATAAAAGAAATGAACAAAAAAATGTCTTCCTCTTTTTGTTCTATGGGTGTAGTAGCAACAACATGGCACTCTTCTCTTCTGGGAAGACTGCTTAGTTACCCAGCAAAATTCATTCCCAACAAACCATATGGACATCATGCACACATACTATTTTCTAACAACAAAGTCTGCAATGTTTTTTCTTCCTTTTTCAGCTTAACTGTGTACACAACTATTTTTTTACTCTCTTGTATTGATATTAAATATATAAAAATATATGTATGCACAATTCCTCCTTCCTATGTTTGAATTTATTCTTTCTGAAAATGTTGAATTCAACTTTTTCAAAACTTCCTACTAAACACAATAACTACTACAATGCAAAGATATTTAGCTGTTTCAATTTTAATATATACTAAATTATATATATACTATATATTACTATATAAAATATTGTAGAACAGTTATATTGACCTTGACTTGTAGAAAAATATGTATTCTGTTAGCACACTGAATGATTTTAAAACTCACAAAGTCAGCACATAACAAAAGGTTGCTGACCCGTGCATTAGGCTACTGTCAATATGGATTAAACAAAGGGTTGCTTGTTGATCTGAGTATCTCTGCTAGTTTTTATTTAGTACTATTCAGTTATTGCTTTATTACCAATTATTTCAGAATATGTCTTTAACTGACTATAAACAGAAGATGATATACAATGTTTCTCATTTGGACGTATCAAAAGTATTAACATGGCAGCTGCATCCAGTGATGAGAAACAAAAAGACAGGCTATGCTCTTGGTACTAACATACCAGACACAGAGATATAGCTGGGTCTTTTCTATTCAAAAGCAGAGAAGAGTTACCTAAGGCCAGTAACATTCTAAGAGGTCAGATGTCATGAAGATGGTTGTGTTTATTCATCAAGTCCTGGTCATCATCAAGCAGCATGTCTTCAAATTGCATTATCATGCAGTTCAAGGTGGCATGGTGCACAGAGACATCTGGTATGAGTCTTATGTGACGAGGAAAGAGCAGTTCATGCCGGAAAAGATCTTTGTGATCTGGCTGAAGTGCTTGCTAAACAAGACTTAAAAAGACTGGTATAACATAGGAAAAAATTAAACAAGAACTTAAACGTGGATAGTATCTACTGCCTACAGTTGCCAAGCTTTGGGAATTGAGTCTAAGTACACACTGCCTGTCCCAGGGATTGAACTCATAATTGCTATGTTGCCAAATCCATGAACCATCACTTTATTCCACTAGATTATTGTGCTGTAGATTAAACAACCAAAATGTTGTGATAAAATGAGGACAACTGTTTGCAGGTAATTAGTTTAAACAATAAGTATTCATCTTCAATATTCAGACAGAAACTATAAGTTATTTTCGTCTATTTTGTTTCAGTAATTAATAATTCTCTTTTGATTTTTAGTTTAATATTCAGCTGATTTTTCTCAATATTTTCTCTCATTTCAGATGTTGACAGCTCGTTGTCATGCTTCATTGCATAGAAATATACACACATCTGCCGTTAGATGTCGTCCTATGATACCTATAGTGATTGAATCATCAGGTCGTGGTGAACGAGCTTATGATATTTACTCAAGGTTACTGAAAGAAAGGATAATCTGTGTTATGGGGCCAGTAAGATTTTTTTTTTTTTCAATATTTTTTTGGTTTTGATTTTTTTTTATTTAATACTTTTTTGGCTTAGTTAATTTTTTTCATTTTTATTTTTCTAGTTTTTTGTTAATTTTTTTTCATTTTTATTTTGCTTTTTATTTGTGGTTTTTTATTTTAATTTTTATTTTTTACTGATTTTAGTTTTAGCTTTTGGTAGTTTTTATCTTTCCTATTTTATGCTGATATTTTTTTGTTGCTTTTTATTTTCTTTATTATGAATTCTTTTTAATTTTTTTTTCACACTGTTAAGTCACCTAATACAAGGCCCAAGTGTCACTCAGGATAGAATGTTACTGAGTGAGATTGTAAGCAGGGAGGGGAAGTAAGATGAGTAGGATGGATATCAGTTGATCTTGGACTTAAAGAGACCAAGATTGTAATTGTCAGGGAAGCATTCTCTCGGGAATTCCACAAAGCAACAGAAATAATTTATGGGAAGTAAGAATATGAATGATTAAACATGGTTAAGCTCAAATCAGAATCGCGCTGAGTTAGAAAGACCAAGTATGTCTGTTTTTCTGTTTGGTTCTGAAATAATTTATAGGAAGTAAGAATACAAACAGGTAAAGATGGTCGAGCTCAAGTCAGCTTTGTGCTGAGTTGGGAAGACTGAACCTCTGCTTCATGTGTAGGGCTGTGGAAAAAGTTCAGTTGTCAGTGGACCTAGGAAACTAACATTTTCCAGTGGGAACACTATTACTATGTGGTCCATTTCTTGAAGCCAAGAGGAGAAAGAGAAAAATTCTGTCCTTTCTGGAAGTTGGAGGTCAAAAAATCACACATGTGACCAGAAACATTTTCTGGTTTCTTCATAACTTGCATCATGGGAAAATTTATTTTTATTCATTATTATTATTTTATTTATTGGTTTTATTTCCTTTTTCTTACAGGTTTTTCAAACAGACTCTTTATTGCTCTTTGCAGTATTTTTCCTAACTTTTTGTTTGAAGCGTTATTATTTTCCCTTCAAGTTAAATGCGATATCTATTTTAGTTGTTGCCATTTTTGAAATTCCTCAAGTCATACATCATTTCTGCTATTTGGTACAGTTCTTTGTGATTCTGTGGCAATGTTTGAAGAAGGATGGTCCTTGCTAAAACCTACAGGTTTCATTTACTCAAACCCGCCTTTAACCATCGATCTAAGAAAACGGTTGTATACAGCTTACAGTATGAATATTTTTGAATTAGTTTAGGTTTAATGTCTTGATTTTGTAGCAACTGGTGGCATATGGCGAAATTGCTTCTATTTTATTTTCTATTTCCTTATCTCCTGAATTAAATTTGTTATGACTAATCCATACACTGAAATATTTGAAGTCTTTAGTATTTACTAATTCCACATCCTGAATTTTTATGATGGCTTCAGGATATGTTTGGTTTGGTTTGGTTTGTTGTGTTTTACAGTATATCAACCTCAATGTGTTATTTAATACTGACAACCTTTTTTTCTTGGTAATATTTTGTTTTGACAAAAGTCTATATCTGATAATATTTTTTCCTCAAAAATGTATAGCTGGTAATAGTTTTTTTTCTTCAAAAATTTATTTCTGTTAATAATTTTTTACAAAGTATTTCTGGTATGAAAACCTATTTTTACATTTTATAAAAGTGTAAAAATAGGTTTTAATACCAGAAATACTTTGTAAAAAATTATTAAGAGAAATAAATTTTACCTCAGTTTCAGGGTTAACTATTTGCCTATAGCTGGGACCCTAACAGGTGCTACCACCCCGGGTCAGGGTGCACCTGAGAACACCAGCAATTAAGAGGTGGTTCCACGCTTTCAGGATATGTGTTGTCACAACTTCATTCGAATTCCAGATCATAGTTTCTGATTTGGAAAGGTTTATCTTGAGTCCTATTTCTTGGAACACTTGGTAATGTTGATGATTTTGTTCAAGATCATTGTTAAACTTGCTATCAATAACTGTCCATAGCCCTCCTCATCTTCAGCATACTGGCACATGATACACCAGAACCACATTTTTTCCCAAAAAATTTCCATATTTTTGAATAAAGAAAATGAGAATGTCAATGTAATACTTGTATATTGCTAATTTTCCAATGACCCATGGGTGGCTCATGTGAGATTCTGGGTTGTAAAATGAATTCTGGTACCAAATGACATACTGGTGGGCCATGACTAATAAATACTACCTATGAAAGTTTTGATTTGACAAGACAATTTAAGAACATGACTCAAGTTTTTGGGTTAATGTTTTGGCGTTGTAGCAATTTGTCTTGTTGTTTCTGAATGAAACTAATGCCATGTATGCCATCCATATGAAAGTCTCAATCTTTTGAGGCTATTTAAGAACATGACTTAAGTTTTTAGGCTAATATTTTTTAACTTTTTTTTTTTTCCAACATTGAGTCTAATACTCATCAGAATGACTCCTCATAAATTTTTTGTATTGTATTTTTTTCTAATTGTTTTACAGATTAATGATGATTTGTCAAGTCTTGTTGTTGCCCAGTTACTCTTCCTCCAGTCTGAGAGCAGCAAGAAAGCCATTCACATGTATATCAATAGTCCTGGTGAGTTTGATTCTATTTTAAAACACAATTACAATCACTCTCTGAATTTCTGTAGTTATCATTATCTACATGCACACAGGCTATTGTTCTCGTCTTTTTACTGTTTGTTGATCTGGGTAGCCTTCAGAGAATTTTGAACCAAGCCCTTTATTTAATTTTTGGGGTAGATGGTTCTCATTCTCCTGACAATGTCTAAGGATATCTTATTTAGTACTACTCACTTATTGCTTGCCCTATTTCCATTGAGTGCAAGTGCACACTGTCTAGTTCAGGGATTGACAATAGCCTAGTGCAGCATTTATCAACTGGTGTGCCCAGGTGCACTAATGAACCCTGAAAGGTATCCAGGTATGTCCCAAGTTAAGAGAAGAGTAATTTATGAATTCTATTTATACTTAAAATCTCTTTATTTTTAAAACGCTAGAGACACCAAGCACATGACTTCCATATCGAAGTCAAGTCTTTCTTATTTGATATTTTAAACTGGATGCGAAATTCATTAATCTTTAAGGAGTGGATAATCCTTTCTTTTTTGCACACGTCAAGGGATTTAAATCAGTCGTTATCACCCTCTCTCTAAGAAGAAGAAGAAAAAAGTAGGTCTTTCATTAATCCATTTAATTTAAAGCTGTACTAATCTTCTTTGTGAATGCTAAACCCAAAATTTCCCGATTTAATTTTTCCTTATTAAATTTAAAAGTGCATCACAGAGTTTTGGTTATTCTACAAGTTTGCTTTGAAGTTAAAAAAAAAAAAAAAGGCTGAGAAACACTGGGCTAGTGGATTAAAACGTTAGTTCATGAATTTTGTGACATAGTAATTGTGAGTTCAATCCCTTGGGCAGGTGTTGTGTATTTGTGTTGATAAGCCATAGAAAACAAATCAATCAACTTCTGTAAACTTGGTCCTATATTTAATTTTTGTCTCTCATGCAGACCAAACCTGTTTTTACCTATCTAGTGTTTATCAAAATGGCAGGATTTAGTATTAACCTGGAAATGATTTATATGCTATAAACAAAACCAAATGAGATATCAGCAGCTATTACAATTTTGTTTTAATTGTGAAATAAAACTATCAGGAAACTTCTCTCCTTAGATAATTTAAATTACAGATACTATGTATTTAGAGATTCTTAATAAAATCCAAAGAAGAATCTGCAATGTCATTGGTGCTGACCTGGCATCTCAATTTCAGTCACTTTTACACCACTGTAACATAGCTTCCCTCTGTGTTATTTTCATGGTAATTGTTCTGATGAGCTTTCCTCTTTGGTACCTTCACCTAGATTGGCGGCTAAGTCACATCATGTTACAATTAAAATTGTTAGATGTAACTGTACTTTCTATGCTAACAGTATCTTCTTTCACATTTCTTTCTTGTGGAACTCTCGTCTGGCTTCTTGATTTCTAGTCAAATTTGGTCTTCAAATATTTAAATGCAATATTGTTATTTTCTGTCTTCTTAAATACTGTCCTCTTATTGTTCACTCTCCTTAATAATGTTTTTCTTTTTCTTATATTCTTTCAAACTCGGTAACTTCTTGCATCTTAGTGGCTGTATTGCCTTGCTTGGGGTGAAATGATTAAAAAAAAGGATTGTAAAGATTTACTTTGTGTTTTTCTTAATGGCTTTACATTCTTGAAATCATTAATTAATTAGGAAATGGGTAAACTTTAGGGAAAAACTTGTTAGTGCGTTTTTAGACCTTACTGTTATTAAGCTTTCATATGTGAGTTTGGGAATATACTTTTTCTTATTTTCACTTAATAAAAATAGAAAACCAATCCTCTGCTTTACGTCTATTTTACTCACGCCATCAAAAATGACTGAACTAGCACAGGGGAGATAATTCTCTGTAGAAAATGTACAGATAATATGGACAGAAATAAATGACTTGGTGTATAAGGCTAATTTATTGATAATGTTAAAAATGACGTAATTGTCTGAATACAATTATATCTGTTGTTGCATGGGAGAAACAATTCTATTTTCAAAATCATTAAAAGTGGATGTAATCAAGAAAGATTAAAGAAAATGAAATAAGTAAAAAGCAGTGACCTTACTAATGAGATGTTTCATTGCTGCTGACATAAGGCATGTTCACTTATTTACATAGAGGAATGTATCTTCTGTCATCTCAAATAAAGGAGATCAGGATGCTTGGTCAATAAATATATAAAGTCACATTGTATTTTATATTATAGATAATTTAATTGTACAGTTTATAAGTTTTAAAAATAGAAAAATGATGAATTAAACATAAAATAAACATGAAAAATGATGAAATAAATAGGAAAAAGATTCAGTCATTACAGTGTCACACTTGGCAATCAAGTCTCTTTTGATACATGACTAACTAGGCAGTAGATTTTCCTGCTTAGGCTGCCATTTCTTTCTACAGTAGACTGGTTGCCAACCGATGCTATCATCCCCAGTCTGTTCTGCTATTTAACCCATAACTGAGGGAGAATTGATGGATTTATGCCTTTCCCAAGAGTATATGCTTGTAAGTGAATGTAACAAACCTAACAGGAATTCAAACTTAGTTCTGCGATTTTTCATTCCAAGCCAATATTCATGACACAACAACATGCAAAAATATTAAATAAATATAAAAAAGATGAAATAAACATTCACTACATATGAAAAAAAGATTAAATAAATATGCAATTAATATGTAAAAGATGAAATAAATATAAAATAAACAAAAAATGATGAAATATACATGAAAAATGCTAAAATAGATATGAATAATTGTATTGAAGCACAAATCCAGAATCAAAATGATAGATTTGTTAGATAAGGGACTAATTCTTATGCCATCTATCTTGAGGCAATGATAAACTACATCCAACAGCAAGACCTCTGATCAGGAGACCATGAGGAGCATGAAACAACATCTTACTTGCTAGTGTTCCCAGGTTCACCTTGATCCAGGGTGGTGGCACTTGTTAGGTCCCAAATATGGGCAAATAGTTAAAACTCAAACTGGGATCGAAACACTATGAAAGTGTACAAATAGGTTTTTAATACCAGCAATACATTTTCGTAAAAAAATTACCAGCAATAAATTTTTGAAGAAAAAATTATTACATTATTACCAGCAATACATTTTTGGAAAAAAATATTACCAGCAATGCATTTTGGAAAAAAAAATATCAGCAATAAAAATCTTGTCGGCATTAAATAATCTATTGAGGTTGGTATCCCATAAAACAAACCAAACCAAGCAATGACACATGCACATTTGGAATGAGAATATTGAAACTTGATTTTTTTCCCTTGTCAGGTGGTTCTGTGACCGCTGGTCTTGGAATCTATGACACAATGCAATATGTGCAGCCTCCTGTTGCCACTTGGTGTGTGGGCCAAGCATGCAGCATGGCCTCTTTGCTTCTGTGTGCTGGAACCTCAGGCATGAGACACTCACTTCCAAATTCAAGAATCATGATTCACCAACCATCTGGACAAGTTGGGGTAAGTCGCCCAGTTTTTTGATAATGCATATAAATGAAGAACATTTTCTTATGAATTTCAATTTTTGAACAACTAACTAAAAGCTACATAAACAATTTTTGATAAAAGCTAATATGTCTGTCCCATAATGGTTATTACATTTTGTGTATAGAATGTAAATGCAAATGTAGCAGCTATTATGGGACAGTGGTGTAGTTTCATAATATCATGTATTACCTTTGTCCCATAATAATTGCTACATTTTTGTATATGAAATCTATGTGAAAATGCCACAACAATTATGAGACAGATAATATAATATACTTTGTCCCATAATAGTTGTCACATTTAGTGTATGAAATGTGTATGTAAATGTAGCAACTATTATGAGACAGAGGTAGTGTATTATTATACCACATCATCCCATAATTATTATTACATTTAGTGTATGGAATGTATATGTAAATGTAACAAATATTATGGGAAGGACATAGTACATTATATTATCATATTAGCTCTGTCCCTTAATTGTTGTTAGATTTAGTGTAGGAAATGTATGTGCTGATATAACAACAATTATAGGACAAAGGTGTCCCATTATATTTGGTACATTTAGTGTATGAAATGTATATGTAAATGTAACAGTTATTATAAGACAGTGGTAATACAATATTTTAGCATCCTTGTGAATGAAAGAAATTCCTAAAGAATTAATAAAAATAATCATTTAATTGTTGAAATGAAACTGAAATTTTGATTTACATGATTTCTTAAATGTTATCACATCATTAAATTTACTAAAAATATTAGAATATAATTCCATCATGTTTTATCCTTAAGAACCTAATGAGGTATATATTGGCTGAGGTTATTGATTTATCAAGAAACACTTATTTAAATAAATATGAAAAGATAATAAAATCCTTTAATTATTGTTTATTGTTCTTCAGAGAATAATCTTACAGGATTTTCAGTTTTAGAAGTTGAATAAGAAGTCTTGTAATAGAATGAAAATGCTTTTTGCAGTTTACTTTTATTTCTTTTAATGGCCTCTCTGCCTGCTGTACCTAAAAAATAAGCTGAAAAGTTCCCACAAAAATTCATTGTAGTGTATCACAATATTTAACATGATTCATTGACTTTTAATCGCATCTAGGAAACAATATTTAGTACAGGTTCATTTTCATTTCTCTTTATTGCAGGGTCAAGCAACAGATATCATGATTCATGCAGAGGAAATTATTAAATTAAAAAAACAGATCAACTCCCTCTACATGAAACATACTGGTCAAAGCCTGGAAAGTATTGGTGAGTTAAAAAATTTTTTTTCTTTTTTCTTGGCTGGGTTGGGGTGTATGTACAGAATTTAGGTTCAGGTTTTGTGTAAAAGTGGGGTTTGGAATAAGCAGGTTAGTTTTTTTTCAAAATCTAATAAATTGGGGTGGAGAATAGAAAAAGTGTGAAGTTTTTGAAAAATCTGAGAAGTGAATAGAATTATTGTAGAATATCGTTTACTTGAATAAAGGAATGGTATGTGAACATAGAACAAATTATTTAATGAATGTTAAAACAGTTTTCTTCTCTATCAAAATTTTTTACCACAAATGAATTATAAACTTGAAGCGAATAAAGAAAACAGCAACCAACGAGTAAATTCAAGCTCTCCCCGCTGGTATTTCAACCTTGAGTCGTTCCTTCTTGAGTTCTGTCTCAAAATCGCACTAACAGACTATTCTTGCCACCAACTGTGAACGTCACTCGAAGAACTGCCCCGCTGGGAAAAAAGTAGTTGCTTTTATATTTGTCCATATACCCATAATCCCTTGCATCTTCATGTGATCCCATAATTCATTGCGTCCCTGTCTCATAATGCATTGCATCTTTATTGCATAAAAATGCAACGCAAGTCCCCTCATTCTTTTACGTTATCTGGCCAAGGACGGATTCTACGGGAAGAGTGATAAAGTGCTTTTTTTCTCCTCATTTCAACTGCAGTAGCTTTACATGCTAAGCAAATACGGGCTCTTTTTTGGCGGGGACAAGGCAAGTCGCGACCAGTTGTGCTCGTCCCAGGTTCTGTCTCATGTCTGCCACAAAACTTTAAACTCATTTTTTCTCATACAAAGAACATACATTTTAATTATCATAGCTTGGTCACACCAGAGATTATGGCTTACACCAACGTTGTTCAAACTTTTTTTTTTTTTTTTTACTGTAACTCACAGCAAAAACCGCATATTGCATTATGACCCATTATACCTACGTGTAATAAATCAAAGACAAACTTTGTTCACTGGGTTCATTTATTTATCATCAACAATTTATATCTACATATGATATGCACATATTGGAATTGCATATATCTATTTGTATGAATCTAAAATTATTACTTTTAGAAAATTAAATTTAAAGGAAATTCAGATCCAAAGATAAAGTAAATAATATTTAATATTTCAACCATATTGCAAGTATTCTTCACTGTGAAGTCTTGCTACTTTCCTCTTCTTATTCAATGTCTCAAAAGAAGTCAATGTTTGCTTGCTAAGGTTATTATCTTTAACAATGTTCATGGAAGCTGCATTTTCAAATCTGTATCTGTTAATGTTGATGGTCCTCCTGTTCCTTCATCGTTCTTCTTTTTTCCGATGATACATCAATCCATTATTAAGGTTGTTTCTGAAATCTTCACATAGCACAAGTTACAAGTATTACAGGCACAACTTACAAAAAAAAAAACATTCTTAAATTTCGCCAAAACCATAGCCAACTCATTGAAAATTCTGAAAATTCCAATGAACACAACGCATCAACAGAAAGAATGTACTGTTACTTGACTTTGAGTTATAAAATTCACTTTTAACCTTTTAACTTTAGATGCAAGTGAATTATAAAAAAACTTAATGGCTTTTACCAATATGTATTTGAAACAGTTATACTGAACAGTACTAAATAAAATAAGAAGTGAGAACTGTCAATCCTATAGATTAAATAAAGGGTTAATTTCGGAATTCATTGTAGGTTACCCAGATCGATATACACCAGAGAGCTTAATGTTATGAGGACAATAGTCCAAATATAAATAATGTAAATACATTAACCCTAATTTAACAAAAATAAAAATTTTATACACAAAAATATCACAAATCACAAGCAGTCCTTAGAAACAAGCAAATAGACCACCTATACACAAACAAAAATTTTGTCCCTTGCACAGGAAGTTCTAATCTAGACAGTCAGATATAAAAATAGACCACATGTCTGGACAGCAGTTTTAACAGACCTGATGGCAGTTTCAAACCAGCCAGTCAGAGGACACACAAATGCTACTCAACAAACCGAACACATGCTGCTCAATGAAAGAATTTTAATTTATGCAGTAAGTCCTTTATAGACTTTACATACTTATAAACCCTACATAAAACAATTCAAAGGTTTACGGCCACATCATAATGAACCGTACAATCACCAATTTAAGCAACTAGTCATTACTTAGGTGACCGTCTGGAAATACCAGGTCCTGTAAGCTTGGATGTGTGGGTGGTGTAATAGAGAATGACTCAGAATTGTTAATCTGAGAATCAAGTTCCAATTCCTGTTGGGGGTTCATTATATTCACTTGTAGGATGTATGTGGGTTTACAGGTGATTATCTTTGGATAACATCCTTAATCCCAATATACACTAATTTTTGGCCTATGCAAATATAATTAGTACAAAGATATTTTTTGCATGTACTGATACATTTTATATCTCTTGAAATATACAATATTCAAAGAGATCATAAGGTCATATCAGAAAGTTCTCAGCTTGAACATCTAAGTCCTTTAGTATAAGACAGAAAGAGAGAGTCTTTGTAAATGTCTATTAGTCTATTAATACTTTCAACTCTCTGGGATTTAAGCCTCCTGATAATGTAGGGCAAGGGAGAATGGAAAAATTATTTCATCAAATCTCTGGCTCCTTTGCCTGTTCGTCTTTGTACACTTTTTACAGACAAAGGAATTCATTTCAGAATTGTCTCTTGCTTCCAGATTCGTTCACAGGTGTGACTCATTTGACAATCCCTTTTTCTTCACCTACATTTAGGAATTATGACCTTTTTGTCCTCTTTTATTTATTTATTTTTTTCCTTTTGTTTTTATTTCTTTATGGCAAACCAAAATGGTTTGCCAATTTTTTTTTTTTTTTTTTTTTACATTATTGGGACTGTTGTCCTCATCTTCATTGCCATATTCACAACGTTTCAGCCATTGTACACTCTGGCCTTCTTTAGGTGATTGGAATATGGAACCAAATCCTTTATTTCGTCCCCTGGGGTAGATTGTTCTAGTTCCACATGCCATGCCTTTTCCAGATGTCTCAATTATTTCCCTCACCAATTTAAATAGTGTAAATAATTACAGTACCTCATCACAGAAATATAGACAAAATATTTTGTGTTTATTATAAAACTTGTTCATAATTATTTGTGATTTTTTTTTTTTTTTTGATGGAGTTACATAAATTATTTTATCAAAGTCTGAGTTGAATCCTCAGTGAATTTTTACGGAAAATGATAATGCCATGATTCCAATCACTGTGACGATGAAAGATTTTACTTGGCAATTTGCAGCATTAAATATTAATTAAAATCATTTGAAAATGTTATTTGATGATATAAATTTTTAAGAAAAATGACATTTACCTTCATTCTTTCTTGATAAATCAGGTGTTCAATTATCCAGAATTTTGAATGATATGAATATATTTTTTTCAGCTCCCATCCCGAGTTGTCTGGGAAATCAATGAATGTAACTTAGATTATGAAATAATATATTTGACAATTATCTTTTGATTTGATATTTGCCAATAGTGTGTTGTAAAATGTTTTTTTTTATGTTTGCAGAACAAAAGATGGAACGAGATTTGTTCATGAGCCCCAGTGATGCCCATGATTTTGGGTTGATTGACACTATTTTGGAACACCCTCCGAGTCTGGAAGAAGAAAAAAGTCATAAAAACTCTTAGCAAGCAAGAAGGAGAAAAAAAAGTGTCTATTGTTTAACTGCATTTGCTTAACAGTTTAGACACAAAAGAGAAAACAAAATCTTGAGAGAAATAAACTTATTTGTTTCTGTTTTTGTCCATTGATTTTATAAATGGTTTACAATCAGTAAATTATCTGTTTTTGGATCTTTTTTTTTTATTTTTGTCTTTCATTAATCTTTAGATCAATCATGAACAAACTGGCCTATGGGCCACATTTGGCTCGATTGACTGTCTGAATGGCACACCTAATCTCTTAAGGAAATAGCATTTATTAAAATGTTGCTTCTTTCTTTTCGTTCCCACTTGTTCACTCACATTTTCTCTCATGCATAAACAATGATTAAGTACAATTTTTTTTTTTGAATTTTGTAACTTTTTGTTGAAGGTAATGTTGTCAGCATTTTAAACCATTGGCTATTTTTGCTAAGGAAGATCATATGTGTAAGCATCTTTTGTCTACTCAGATGAATAAATTAAATACGCATTGGTTAATCACTGTCATTCATGATAATATTGTACCAAGATTTTATTTTTTTTTAATTATAGAAAGAATCTTTTCTCAAAAGTAAAAAAAAAATCAACTTTTCCCCATTTCTAAGGTAGATGGCTATGCAGATGGTCTTTTGTTGGGAGAATGGCTGTGGTATATTAAATGAAAAATTACCTTTTTTAATAAGAATGCAGGTTCGAATCCTGCTAGAGAGCACATAATTTTCTTTAATGAGATTTCTTGAATATTTGGTAAAATATTTTGAAGTAAATCTTTTTAAAATATGAAACATATTCAAACTAGCAGGAAACTTCTCCCCTTGATTATTTAAATTATGCATACTATGTATTTCGAGATTCTTGATAGAATCCAAAGAAGAATGTGCATTGTTACTGGTCCTGATCTGGCATCTCGGTTTCAGTCACTTTCCCACCACCATAACTTAGCTTCCTTGTGCCTTTTCTATAAATGTTTTCATGGGCAATTGTTTTGAAGCACTTTGGTACCTCAACTTCATGAATTTAAATGCAGTACTTGGTTGGCAGCTTAGTTCTGTCATCTTACAGTTAAAATTGTCAGATGTAACTAAGTTCTATGCTAAGAGTTTCTCCTTTCACTTCTTGCTTGTGGAACTTTCTTCCATCTTCTTGCTTTCCAGTCAACTGTGATCTTCAAAAATGTAAATACAGTGTCAGTTATTATCTACTGTCTTCTTAAATCCTGTTCTTTTATTTTTCTTTTTCCTTAATAATTTTTTACAGATCAGAATTGAATTTGTAGAATAAAACAAAAATTGATTTGTGTTTCACACATTGGCTGTCATCTTAAACTTAAAGAGCAGTAAAAGATTTTGATGTAAGTCTTTTAAAAGACATTAAAAAGTAAATGCTTAAGCTATTAAGGTGATTATGCTTCTGGCATGAATCTTTAATCTAATAAAAGGAAAATCAGATGATATATAAAAAAATAAATACATTATTTCTTTTTTTATTCATGTCATCCCATGCAAGGTAGTAAAGACACAAAGGGTTACTGAGTGTGAAAGAATAAGAAAAAAAGAGAAACATTATTAAGGAGCAAGAACAATATAAGAGTAATCAAAAAGACAGTAGATAACGATTAGCATTGCATTTACATTTTTGAAAATCAAAGTTGGCAGGAAAGCATAGAACTGGAAGATAGTTCCAAAAGTGAGAAGTGTGAGAAAAGAAACTGTTATTTACACTATTTACATTGTCTGAACTGTTGTCCTCTTCTTTATTGCCATATTCGGTTGTTGTACACTCCGGCCTTCTTTAGGTGATTGAAATTTCAAACTGATCTATTTATTTCGTCCACCTGGGTAGATTGTCTTAGTTCCATGTACCATACCTCTACCCGATGTCTCAGTTATCTCCCTTTAGCTCAACTGTTCAAGTGTTTTGTTCACCACTGCCATAGCTAAGTATTGAACTCACAACTCTTTAGGTCAAGTCACTGGATCCAACCAACACTTTTATCCATGTGTCCATAAAATTCCAATCACCTGAAGAAGGCCAGAGTGTACAACATGAATATGGCAATAAAGATGAGAACAGTCCAAACAATATAAATAATGTAAATAACAATGCCTCATCTCAGAAATATAGACAGATATTGAAGAAACTGTTAGAACTTGCAGTTACATCTAGCCAATTCAACTGTAAATTGAGACCTAGTTGCCAATCTAGTACTGCGCTTAAATTCATAAAGTCTAGGTACCAAAGTGAAGAGTTCATTTGAATAGATACCATGAAAATAAAAGGGAAGCAATTTTATGATGGCAGGAAAGTGACCAAAGCTGAAATGCCTGGCCAGGACCAATAATACTGCTGATTTTTTTTTTAATTTTATCAAGAATCTCTAAATATATAGTATGAGCACTGAACCATTTATGGCAGCAATATTCAAAGCATGGATGAATGGTAGACTTATAAATATGTAACAAAGACTTAGGAGAGAAAAATTGTCTTGCACAACTCCATGAATCAACTTTCTTAGTGGCAGACCTAACGATGGATTCAATATAGTCTTTTCACTTTATGTTAGCCGAGAAGGTGCACTGAGTCACTCACCTGAAGGTTAACATTAGCCATGCTGATGGAAGGTAGAAAGGGGGTCTCTTGGATGATTAATAGAGAGCAGTTTTGTTTTGGAGGTATTAAAATTAACAGGCCATTTTTTGCACCAGTTAACAACAGATTATGAGTGTTTTTTTTGTTTTTAGATGACCTGCCAATTTGATCATATCAAAGTGATCATACTTACTATTGAGACAGGAGTAAACAGTTGTCTTCAGCATATATACCAAATTGAGAGTTGATGCCATCAGGAAGGTTGTTAATGAAAATTAAAGACAAAGTAGGACCTAGGATTTAGTTCTAGATTCTTTGACATTATGAAATATAATGTTACAATATCATGAAGAATTAACTGAAAATCATGTTAAAACAGTGGCCGCTTACTGGTGGTCCGTGCAAAATTTTTGATAGTCTGCAAAAAAAAATTGGGACATTATTTCAATTTTTATGAATTTATGATTAAAAAATGACAAGTAACAAAATGTATTATGGATGGTAGATATGTTCAAGACCTTATTTAATCTCAAAATAGACACAAATATGACAACTTCAAATTTTCTATTTGTTTAAATAATTACACTATAACTTTGTTACCTTTAATGGGTGCATTTCATATTAATAAAATAAAAGTTTTCCGATTATTATTATTATATAAATGTATTTATCTTTTTTTCTTTTTTTTTTTTTTTTTCTAAATTCATATTAGTGGTCCGCCAAATGTAAAATTATATACTTAGTGGTCCATGAAGTTCAAAAGGTTGGCGACTGCTGTGTTAGAAGATGAAAGGCTTTAATTCAAGGGAGTTAATCCGAATAGTGCAATAAAATTTTAAAATATGTATCATTTAAAATTAAAAATCACATTTTAATTCGATTCTTGCATTTTTACGATAGTGAATACTTTTTTCTCCATAAATTTATCGCTGAAATCTTCATTCGCATTAGAATAATAAGGTACTTAATATTTTGGTTTTATTTTAGAAGTATTTAATTAAAACTCAAAAAATAATGAACAAACAAACACATTTAAAATTTAAAATTTTTTTACTTGATTTTTATTTCACGTTTCAATTTTTTTTTGTTTTCAACATCAAAACATGCATGCAAAACGTAATGCATTACATCAAAATATTACTCGTTCATTCTTTTATTAGTGTACACAAATTAAAATCTATATGCACAATACAAAGAAAGTTATAACAATTTTATTTTTAAAATTATATGTTCATGTTTTTGCACACTCAAAAAAAATGTATTGGCAGGGGGAGCAATTCTAGAAAGAAATTAGCATGATAAAGGTTAATAAGGTACTTAATATTTTGGTTTTATTTTAGAAAGGATTTAAAACCAAAAAAATAATGATGAAAAACAAATATTTGTTCTATCTAAAAGACATGCATAAAAAAAAATATTACAAAAATGTTTTCCGTATTGAAATTATTCTCTTTATTTATTTTAATATTTACATTTCAATCATTTTTTATATTTATATTTCATTTTCATTAAATGATAAAAAGACAGTCGATTTCCTGACTTTAACTGATTTCAACATTAAATAATCCTCTTGAACCAATGTCAATTATTCATTATCGTAAATAAACAACAATTTAAAGTAACAGGTAATTTTTAAGAAAAATACTGTTCAGATATAAAAGTTACCTCCCTTAATTTTCTAATTTTTTTTTTTTTTCATTTTTTGGTGAAGTGAACCATTTGATGAAGGGAAGATTTGATTTAACACTTTTGGTGACACTAATTTTCAGACAAACGATATTGCCATGAAGCCAATTTTCAATGTTATGAACCAGACCCAAAGTATCCTCTTGTATAGAGAGCAAATTTGAACAGTCTCAGTCAGTCATTTATGTGCCATGTGTGATGCAAGCTTAGGCGATTGTGTATCTTTCAATACATGACTGACGAAGCAGTAGGTTTTTTCCCGCAGTAGGTTGCCATTTCTTTCTGTGTTAGACCAGTTGCCATCCAAGGCTATAGAACTCGGTCTGTCCTGCTATTTACCTATAGCTGGGGGAGAAAAATCCAAGCTGCTATCCCTTACTACATGATGCCTCCCTTGAACAGTCTACCTCCTTAAAAAAAAAGAAGAAAAAGTCTGTTTTCATATACAGTTAGTATGTGGCATCCATCAGTCTCGAAAAATGTTATACTTCATCTGCTGATACCAGTGCAGCATCTGTCATGGCTGTACAGGCCCACACAGGAGTAACAGTCTCAATTGCAATGAATGCATTTAAAGATGCTCTTCCCCAATGTTGTGTTGTTTTGTTTATTTTGGGCATGCTTCATTTCAGCTGCAAGCCTCTGTTTCTTCATTACAGCTATCACTGTAAATTG